TTGAAATTGGATACATGCATTAGTTTTTTGCAGTGAAAGGCAACTTCAAGTTGCAAAAATTCATGTTGGACAACATTTGTTATGACAAGTGGGTAAATGTTCCTTTTGAAAATCGATGATTCAGCATCTTGACTTATTGCTTACAACTTGTGGCTCAAGAATTAGGACTAGCCCCATATATGAACACCTTATGAATATAATATTTTACATATATCTGCTGAATTTTCCCCACTACTTTGTAGTGATTTATAATGGAATTTACTGATACTTGAAGAAAATCCATCATAAATGTAGATAATGCACTTTATTGTGAGATTTTTATTTAAGTTACAAATCTGCAATATACTGAGACAGAGGTCCACTATAATCAATAATAAATAAGATTCCGCAATTTTCCACAAACCATTTCAAGTATAAGAAAACTGTCATACATAATAACTCGACACATTCACATCAGCATAAAGTAGCAGCATTCAATAACATGCTTCACAGACATATTCAGAGTGTATTTTCAGAGAAAACTGAATTTCATCAAACAAATTGCTGTCAAAAATGGTTGTGAGGTGGATATCATCGACATCAGTGGAAACAAACAATTAACCACGTCAAGCCAACTTCACGGCAATAAGTGACATAAGATATTGACCTACAATAAATGTTTTTTTTTTAATAAGACTTGAATGTAACTTACAGAACAAATAATAATTTGGGCAAATTCATTGAAAGGATTTGGAAAAGCTGAATACACTTGTTTGAATTAATGAATCGAAGAGGTTTTGTATTAAAGTGTATAATATATTAAAATTCTTGCAAAGCGCTTTCGACTTTTGTCATCATCAGTGCTCACTTGTCAGGCAACAGGAAGTATCAAGATAAGTGAATTGTACATAAATTAACCACGTCAAGCCAACTTCACGGCAATAAGTGACATAAGATATTGACCTACAATAAATGTTTTTTTTTAATAAGACTTGAATGTAACTTACAGAACAAATAATAATTTGGGCAAATTCATTGAAAACAATACGGACAAAACTTCACTGTGTGATAGATTAGGAGTATATGAAGACTTGTTCTTGTACCAAATGAAGAAAACTTTTACCAAATATTGAAGAAACATAGACGTTTTTAGAATGTGAAGACTAATTCTACATTTGTAAATCATCTTGTAGTAGTGGGGTTTGAGTTCAATAATGACTGACTGACTGACAATGACACTTGGAAGAGAAAGGTTTGAAACTCAATCTTTTGGAAAGATCAAATGAAAATTAATATTTCTACTCTGCTGAATTTGATTCCTAATGTTAAAATTGGTAACTAGTGGAATATGGCAATATTGATATATAAACAAGGTAGTTTTATTTTTTAGATGTCCAATAAAATAAGATATAATTCAGGTTGTATTGAATGAACATGCCTGAAAGAGCTATGAGCGTTTCCCATTGGTAAAACTAGTGGTTGAAATAGATTGGCACGAATAATTTTATTTTTCTGATTGATTCAGCCGTAACTTGATGAATATCCATAGTAATTTCATAAGTGAAGTGATTCAAAATCACTTTCTAAAGCTACTGTGTTAGCGAAACATGTGATATATATTTTTCAAATAAAGTTTGTGGAGATCAAATTGTGAGGTGTAGTTCATGAAAAAACAAATAATTTTAATTTGATTTAAATAATCATTCTGGAAACAAAATCAGATAACTCCAAACTTGAAATCAGAATGAACAATAAAAAAATATCGATAATTGAACTATCAATTCCTGCCGTTCTGACCTGAAAATAATATAAACTAACTTTCTATGTGGTTGTACCATTATTGAAAATAATTAGAGAATGCACAAAAAGCTTTACCTAACACTATTTTCGAAGCGTGAGATCGAGGTCAATATTGGGCGGCGGACAAAAGTGATTATTCATTAAAATAAAAAAAATCTAATAGTTATACCATAGTGCTATATCCTAGAGTGCTGCAATCAAGCTGATAGTTCGATCCTTATATGACAGGTGCCAAAGCAAAGTGCAGGTGTTTCTGATCATTGAGAGATTCACTACTTAACAGTTCATTTTTGTAAACATTTGCTTACCTATGCCTAAACCTAACCACACTATTTACATTATTTACTTCACGAATTACGAAATCAGAAAACAACGTTGCCAATCGAAAATTATCAAATTCCTCAATTTCACAATCAAATTCCCAAGCATAATTGGAAATAACCTGGACCATTACCTACGCATGCGCGCCGCGTCACGTGAATAAGAGGAAAAATAGTTACACGTGTATGTCTTGTTATGTCTGGAATACATTTTTGTTGTTAGATACATGAAGTTTGCAACTTGAGAAGAAATCGAGTGCAACAAAGATTCCTTTCGCATATCTTGCATAGATTTTATTCTACGATCGAGTTTTTTCTTATTAGATTTTATTAAAGAATATTCAGAAGAGTATATTACAATAAGAAAACAAATTAATCTATTGAAATCCGATGAAGTGCCCGTCATCGTACTTAAGAAGTGTGCCAATGAATCGCACTAGTATTTTGCAGACTTTTCATCCAGTTTTACAAGAAAGGGATTTTTCCTTCTTGTTGGACGATGGCTCGGCGTTCAGCCTATTCCTTTTGCTATCAGTGATATCAAAAAGAATGGAGGAAGCCAACTACAATATCCTTGAATATCTGGTAGGCTTCAACACCTTGAGGGATCATCAATATGTCTTTCGGAAACAAAGATCAGCAGGCGACCTTGTCTATCGAATCTCATCCATATTGTAATAACGCAATCGAGAAACATGGAGAGTTAAGAGCAAGAGCTATTGCGCTTGATATTTGTAAGGCCTTTGACCGTGTGTGGTATCAAGGTTTGTTGGCCAAACTTCGATGAAATAAAACAATACCATACATTAGTTGAAACAAGAAAAGTGTGCTGCAGTGAGAAACAATCAAAAAACATCCAAGGATATGTGGCTGGAGGGCAACAAGATCAATCATCATCACAAGGTTTGAACGGTGATAGCAACGTCAATAATTTATTAATGGAAATTGATTTGCCGAGAAAACTCATTGTCAAAAAAGACGCAAAATACGACATTATTCTGGAAAATAAAATGTTATTAGATGAAAAAGTGATGATTTTTTATAATGACCAACAAAAACTTATCAACAGATAAAAACACAAACAACGAAAAAAAGCTACTGCTAACAAAAACAAAATATCACAACCGGAATACCCAAATACTACAAAAACAAGTAATTCATGTGGAGATCAACCACGAATCATAAATATTATAAATAAACAAAGAACTAGATAAATAGAAAGTGAAATTGAACCTCAAACCGGTCAAAATGGTCACAAATCAGATAAATGTTCTATAATCAATAGGAAAATATCTGTCAAAATATTAATATATTTATGGTATCGATATGTATTGTAATGTAAAAGTTTTTCAGATAACGTCAACATGGAAGGTGACAGATAAAAGTAACTGGGAATATAAATGAATATAGTTATTGAGGGAAAAATAAATTTCAAATCTAAGATTCCAAAAACATTTTTCTGAACGTTTTGACATCATTACTTTTGTTGTGAGGTTTCTGGTAATAATAATTATATATTTGGTAACTGATTCCGTTTCGAAAGGAAGTTATGTCAACAAGCCATTTTGCCCTATAGTATTCAAGTTATGTATATCTATTCAATAATAGATTTTTCTGTGAAAGTAAAAGTTAATTTTTTGTAGTGATGATTTTATGAAAAAGTCATATTTGATCGATTTTTTTGTTATTCATATTGAGCCGTCCGATTAGCAAAAGTTCACATAATGTATCTAATAACATTAATTTTCTAGTAAAACCTTGTTATATGCCATACCTATAATGTCTAACCTAGTTACTCCACATTTATTTCAAACATATCAAGAATTATAAATTTATCAAATAGGAAAATTTATCAAATAGAAAAATTCATCAAATAGAAAATAAATGGATTTTATGTATACCGTAATGGTTCAAACCTCTGATGTCATCACAAATACGGCTGCCAAAACCTTTTACGTTTCTCAATCCCCCTATATAAGAACTCTGCGACGATCTGTCGTCATTTTTCATTTGACCTTATTTTCTGGGACCTTATTTTCAAATCAGATCAATTCGAGAGATAATCTTTCTCTATTTGAATGCCCTTTACTTCACAAAAAGAGAGAAAAATTTGATTTTTTTCTCGATGTGAGAATTCACCTGAGTTGAAATTAGGGCTCTTGATCAATCGGTGGATTGTAAATTCTACTCTGTAGGCATTCGTTTAATGGAATTTACCAATTTTTTTCTAGGACACATCATCTCCATAGACAAAAGTTTTGTTTTTCCCATAGAAACAATATTATATGAATGAGGCGTATCTGGGTTTTTTCACTTATATTGTAGTTGAAACCACTTCTTACAGAGTGATACTTTTCACTTTTTCGTTTTGTACGTTCCAATGACTAGTTTATAAATAAATATGTTGCCAATGAAAATTGCACAAAATACTACAAAGCTTGCGAAAAAATACTTGCATTTTTGTCTTTAGTTAAATTCCGCACAAATTCTCGTACTTTTTGAATATACTGAATTTATAAAAACACTCAGTTCAACTATTCATTTTGTTTTCAAGTTTATACGAAGGTTCGAAATTGCCTACCACCATCGAACTCTATTCTCTACGTAACTGGAATGACTGAAATTAGGAACATCTCAATCCTAAAAAATGAACTGTGATTCAATTCTTCGTTCTCATAGAAAATTTTAAAAAAGAAGTTTTATACAGAACAGAACATACTATTTAACGAGTCCTGCTTTATCATACCAATGTTGTACTGGATAAAAATTAGTTGAAAAACACTAACAGCATTGTTCCAATTTTCAGTAACAGAAATAAAATGTCATAACGACCCCTTACTGCAAATCGATGAAAGTACTGGCAAAAGCAGTATAAATCAGATAAATACTATCAAATTGGTATCACTGTATGAGAATGACACGACGATGACGTTTATGACAAATGATCAAATCAAGGAACTTCGTTTCTAGTTTTAGTGGATAAACTTTAGTGACGTTTTGGTATTTCCATTATTGTTTTTTTAAAGGCCGTATTTGGAAAAAAAGTTACTCAGGGATACAATTTGGAAAATCAATTCAATGAGTTTCTCTTCTCCAATGCCTAGTAGAGAATTTTTGTGGGATGTATTTCAAAGGTGGGTTTACCAGCTATTATTTATCTTCTCGATTACAATATACAATCCTTTATTTACAGAGTTGATAGGGATAGAAGTGGATATATCAATGCCGATGAGTTAGGAATGGCTCTATCAAATGGTACTTGGAGTCCTTTCAATCCAGAAACTGTTCGTTTGATGATAGGTAAGTACCAAACTTCCTCAGTTCGAAACTATTAATAAAAATAATTCTTTCAAGGAATGTTTGATCGCCACAATAGAGGTCAAGTGAGCTTTGAAGACTTTGGTGCTTTGTGGAAATATGTCACAGACTGGCAAAACTGCTTCAGATCATTTGATAGGGACAACTCTGGAAATATTGACAAAGACGAACTTAAAACAGCCCTTATATCATTCGGATACAGGCTATCTGATAATTTGGTTGAAACTTTGTTGAGAAAATTTGACAGGCATGGAAGAGGAACAATATTGTTCGATGATTTTATTCAATGCTGTATTGGATTATATGTGAGTTATTTAGTAATGATTCATAAATTGCAGCTGAGTAATGTTTTTTCAGACTCTCACATCTTCATTCAGGCAGTATGACACCGATCAAGATGGATACATTACAATTCACTATGAGCAGTTTTTGAGTATGGTTTTTAGTTTAAAAATCTGAATATTCACTCATCTACATATACTGATTTTGTGCCACTAATATGCTAGGTGCATCAACTCGTGTCAAACAAATGATGGATCTAAAAGATTGGACTTTGTTTCTCAATTCTATCATCTATTAAGAATGAAGTGCATCTGTAATAATAACTATTATCTAATATTCCACTACTTAAGTATACTTTTCTTCAAATCTCAGTTTTGTTTCAAGTGGCTTTTATATTATGGTGTTTAATACAGTGATTATATCTGATTTTATTGAGTAGTTAACTACTAGTTGGAAACTTTCTGCCTTCCAAATGACTTGTTAGTTGTTTAATTAATGTCTTAAAGTGTTCTTCGGCATATTACATTAGTGGAACTTAAATAGCTTTCATTATCATACGATATTCAATAAATATTTTTTCATTCTAACACTGAAATTTGTTTAAAGAATTGATGAAATTATCTGTGATTTATACTCTTCTGTCTGAAATAGTATGCTGTTATATTTTTTATAGAGTAAAGCAAGATGCATAGAATATCCCTGATATCATCACTTGGTTCATATTCCCATATTGTCAAAAAATCTTGACCAACGGCATTCTTGATAAAGAAATAATGAAGATATTCAATAAATTTCAGCATCTCATTCACAAAGGTGTTGGGTGTAACTCAAGTGACCCCACTATACAATGTCAAGTTGGCACTTCAATTTTATTTTCAATGCTGTTTACATTTTGGAATAAATTGATATCGGGTGAAAGATTGGTTACATTATGATCCATAAATTAAATATCTCAACATGTGTACAGAGTATAGTTAATCTCATGTGTCGCCTTGAGAGTTTTTGAAAAAACGAAAGCAAATTGGTTGATAACACCAGGGTCTATGCATCTTTGAGTAGATTAACATTGTTGCGTTACTTTCTCAGTATAACTATTGGAATATAGTTCTTGTTAGGAAAAATAGTTTTCTCATTGTTTAAAATCATTTTTATCAAACACTATATTTATACATTGTATGTTATGTTTATGTTCACAGGAATTCTAAGAATATTACCTCACAAGTTTAACACAAAGTACTAATCATTGAAAATATATCATCGAGTAGATTTATATTTATTTCAGCTGACAGTGAAATTTTTGTTTTAAACTAGACTTTATTGTAAATAAACTTGTGATTTTAGGTTTTATATTGATTTCTCTGAAGTGAGAATTCTTTGAAAAATATCTTGATATATTATAGGTTTAATATTTTTGTAATAATCAAACTTTTAATAAATATTGTTGAGCAACACATGCTTTAATTATATTTCCAACTATTTTTTTGTATGAAATACATCTCAATGAGTTGAAACCACAGGGGAATATTGTAATTATCCGAAGGACTAAAAACAAAAATGCAAGCATTTGTTATCTTATACGAGGTTTTCGTCAAAAACCATACATTTTGCTCAGGTGTAAAGTACCTTTATTTTTGACAATGTCAAAAATTGTTATTTGAATAAATCCATCAGAATTCAAAATCACTTTCAAATATGCTATTTCACCATGAAATATCAATATTTTTGCTCAATGAATTAATTTTGCAAATTTCTATTTTACATGTACAATAATCACAGTTTAATTTTCGTTTTTATTGTAGGTACAAGTTTCGAAAAATCAAAGAAATGAATTCCAAGTTGATGCAATTGTATATTTGAACATGATTTTCAATTCTGATCAACTTATTTTGACAACCTATAGGATGCAGGCGTCAATGTTTTCGTTGGTTTGCCGGTTTTGCCGTGGTCTTCTTTGATTACAATCTCCAAACGTTTCAACTGCAACTGCGTGGTCGAAGTACTCTTCCTGATTTATCAAATGAAACGCAGTTCAGAAGAGTATTTTGACCACGCATCTGAAGATGATGATATTTTGACAACAGATTTCGATATTAAGCAAAATTCATAGTTTTCGATAAACCTCACAAACGACTGAAAGAATATAATAACTGATGAATGATTTTGATTTTTAGGTTTTAGTCATCACAGAATTTTTTATAAAATACATTTTCCATATGGTTTCAACTCATTGAGATACACTGTATAAGTAAGGTCTGATGAGTCTTCTCACATTGAGACATTTCAATCATTTCAGCAAAGATTTCACAAGTAATTTATTCAAAGCTAATAATATATAAAAATAATACTTTCACTAATATTGACTAAATTATATAAATGCAGAACATATGTAATAAACAAAGCTAATGGCGAATTTGAAAAATGTATTTAGGCAACTTGAAATGAAAAAAATACTAGATCAATGTCAGTGAATTTGAAATCAAGTATCCGGGAGGCCGGTTATTCATTACGGTACAGCATATATTTGCAAAAGAAACCGTTCAGTTTCAACAATGTGCCAATACCTTTGGTAGACTAATGTATCAAACAATTCTAATTGTATCATCTTATTCTTTCCTTGGATGGCTTTTCTGAATGATAATATACGGTATTTTTTTCGTATTTGTTGGTGTTTTAGAATCCTACTAATGAAACATTTTGAGTTTTTATATTCCGCTGTGTGAAAGTTGTTTCTATTTCAACCGTGGTAGGAATCTGATGTTAAAAGGTAAGACCTCGTTAATACTGAGCTCAACCTGAGGATTGTCGTTTGTGAGGGGACATTATTAGAACTAATTTTCTATTCATCATCAGATATTAGGCTGGACCTCATTTGGCAGATTTTCAATAGCAAACACAAGTTTTTAAAATAAAAGAGGCGGTTATTAATTTTGACATATTTTGGACCAAAGAAATCCCTAGAAATGCATTTACGAATTCTACAGTATTTATTTCGATAATTTCAAGGTGTAAATATCTCTGGAGATAAATAAAATATCAAAATTGAAGCGAACAAAATCTACATTGATCCATTGGTAACTAAATCCACCCAAAATAATTTATTCACACTCTGATATCAGACAAAAACTTGTCAACATCTCGAGTCTCAAAATGAAGTTGAAAACTCACTGTTCTCAATTAGTTTTAATTTATCATCAAAACAAATAATTATTTATAATATATACACCATATTCTAAAGGTAGTAATAATAACGATTTTATTTCCTGAAAAATATTCCTGAATTTTATTTAGTACTTCGATCGCATACTCCTCTCCATTGTGTAATGTGTTGTAATTAAGATGTCTAAAAAAGGAATCTTAGTTGTAAAATACAATTCGTCTTTAAAAGAGCTTTTACCAAATAGGTCAAGACTATGCCAAGAAGACGGGATAACCAGAGGAAAGATTGAATAATTAAAATAAACCACTCAAAATGTTCGAACCGACAAAGCAAATTGTTCACAGATGCACTGAGAATTCCAAGAATTGGTAACAATGACAGCATACATGTTGGTGCTGAAATTCAGCACCATTGTGTAACTTAGCGTCCTTGATTTGGTAGCCAAAGATGAAAGATGATTACCATTGAGAAAGTAAGCAAGGAGAAAAAAACTTCCTCGACATAAATGACCAACCAACTTCAACACAAACTTCACGATTAAAATCACAAAACGGAAAGAGTAAATTATGAATAGTTTCCTGAAGAACATGCTCGACAGAAATAACTGTTATATAGACAGGACCAAAACCGAGTATGGGAAGGGAGCTGAAATATACTGAAATTTATATAACAGCTATCTGCTCGGCTAATAGGCATCCGACTTCCAGGTGGAAGTGTATGCAAATCTACAATAAAACAAGGAATATCAATTAGAGGTCAAAGAGATTGGGCTTGGTAGATCGATAAACTGATGGTCACACTCTGAGAGCAATGAGGAACTCAAGAGTGGCATTGAGACTAGTCTGGGAATGTGATGCACTGTTTGGAACCTTTGGTGTAGTAATGAATATTAGTGGACTTTTTTTTCAACACCAAATCGTAATTTTTAACACCTCAACATGTGTTTCGATCACCAAGTGATCATCTTCAAGAGGAAGATTAAGTCTGGGAATGTCTTAAAAAAGGAACTGCCAGCAGGAATAGATCGAATCTATACTAGGTGTCAACAATCAGATGATACTGGAAACAAAAAAGTTGATGAGTGCCAGATACGATATGTCAACTCCATTTATGAGTATGTGATTAGAATAGGTCGATACTTCATGGAAATCCATAAAGTATTCAAGTAACACTTCATTGTGAGATTCACACTGAACAGTTTTTATTTAGCTGCAGAATAAATAATACCTTACCTTTTGGCTTTTCACCTCTTCTTCAACATACAGAAAGTGGGAAACTCGTAGACATAAAAAGAAAAAAATAAATATATTCCAATATCAACTTTTTGTTATTCAGTCTTCTTATTCATTCAAAAGTGAAACAGATATCATACAGAGGAATATTAATACATGGTAATATATTCAAGAGTATAGTTATAAAATTTCACTTAAAAAGCTTCAAATCTGTGAACCTTTAGGTACCTATTTCAGGTAAAAACACTACTCTCCAACTCCTTATTATGACTTTTCTGGATGTCTAATAAAGACAAATCCCTCACTTTTGTATAATTCGACAATGACAATTTCATAATCTCTGGTGAAAAATAAATCTATTGAAAACACTTTCCTAACACTAGAATACTGATTATGCTTACCAAGTCAGTATCATCTGTAGATGTCTAAAACTGTTTTGTCATCTATTTATGATGACAACTTGTGATGGAGTTGGCCGATACTTGATGAAAATCAATAATGTTTTCAAGTAACATTTTATTGTGAGATATTCACTGAAGAGTTTACAAAACCGCATCACGTGTTTTGTTATACATGCTAAAATGTTTAGAAACATGCACCAAAAAAGAGCTTTTGTTCTAGAGTAGAAAAAATAGTTTCATTTGATTCATACAACTAGTTACTTCTAGTCCCGGACATAGACATTTCATTTATTGAGAAGGGGCTGATTATTAGGAAAAATTGTTCTTTTGTTGGAAAAAAACTTTAGGGTTTCTACTTGTAAAAGGAAGCCAAAATTTTTTCTCAAACAATTCTCTCTTAAAAATATTCCCTTCACAATAAATAAAATTCCCCTGACTGGGATTAGAGTAACTGATTTGTTTGCATGATTTTATTAGCTGTCATTGTGATTGTATAGATTTGTCTCTTCCAGTGACAAAGTCTTCAAGTTTTTGCAAGAACTGAGTGAATCATCATTATAACATCCAAAATGAATGGGAAAGATCAGACTCAAAATTAATAAATGTAAAAGCTTCTTCAAAATACTGTTTTTCTCTCCTTCTTAACACAAGTGGAGATTAGACCGCTACTACAGGATTGAGAATTTTTATAATATTAATCTCACAAATGTTACTGCTTGAAGGAGAAACACAGTCAAGATGCATCCACTGTACGAGCAAGTCAACTGTTAGACACATTTTAATGTGTCAGGATATGCTGAGATAAGACATTGAAAAATTGGTTACCAAAAGAAAAAACTAAAAACTATTAGGAGTTTTGCCAAAGAAATCAAAATTTATAACAAAATATAATTAAATGAGGTATACTGTACCATCAGAAGCTACTAGTCTGCATAGTTTCTAATTATGGCTTAGTGTCGATGCCATTGAAAAGAAGAAAAAAAATTATCTTCCGAAAAAAAAAAGTTTGTTTATATAAAAGTACACTCAACAATATTTTTTTTCATATATTGTGTTTTATTAGTGTACATGAACGATATGTGTTTCAATTCCATGAAGAATGTGTGGTTTACAACATGAATAAGAAAAAGTGTTTTTGAGACTGATCTACACATCTTTGTAAAGAGTATTTGTTTTTTTTTGTTTCTTCAAATGTTTTCCACTTTCTATATTCTGATGTAGAAGAAGAAAACCAAAAGGCTTTTTCATAGTTTCATCCACTTTTCCGTGAGATAAAAGCTTTCACCAGCTTTCCCATGATCCATGATTTTTACATTACAAGAGTCCTCAAATAGTTAAAAGTATTAAAGTCTATATGCTGTTTATTACATGAAGTCATATCTTTCATAATCCACTTTGAACCCGACATAACCATAATTGTATTATACAGTAGATCAATTTCAAATTTTCAGACTGAAAACCATGCTAAGAAATTGTTCGTAGTGGATTTTAATGTATCCATCTTGATCAGTATCATACTGCTTGAATGAAGAAGTTAGAGTCTGAAATTAAAGTAATTGTTTTCAGTTTCAGTATCAAGTAGTGTATATGTTAACTCACGTATAATATAATGCAGCACTGAATGAAATCATCAAATAATATAGTTCCATGTCCATGCCTGTCGAATTTTCTTATCAGCGTATCTATTAACCCATCGGACAGTCTGTATCCGAATGTTACCAGAGCAGTTTTCAACTCGCTTTTATCAATGTTTCCAGAGTTGTCTCTATCGAATGATCTGAAGCAGTTTTGCCAGTCTGTGACGTACTTCCATAAAGATGTAAAATCTTCGAAGCTGACTTGACCTCTGTTATGACGATCAAACATACCTTGTTGAAAAAAATATAGTAAAGGTCCTGTGAAGGTATTAAATTGTATTTTATAAAGAATTCTTTTACCTATCATCAGCCGAACTGTTTCGGGATTGAATGGACTCCAAGTACCATTAGATAAAGCTGAACCCAATTCATCTGCATTAATGAATCCACTTCTATCTTTATCAACTCTGGAAGAAACATGTGGTTATAACTTTGAAAAAGTTCTAATGAAATTGTTTAAAATTTACCTTTGGAAAACATCCCAAAGAAATTCCCTGGCAGGCATTGGGGAACTAAAATGACTCATTTTGTTATAGCAATCTACTGATCAAGTCGCCGATTTATCTTCTGAAATTGAACAATTGAAGTAAACAAATGTAAGATTGAAATTGAAACTGTAAATTGAAATATTACTTGATAATTTAACAAAATCACTTTTTAGTAATTAATAAATATGTAGAAGGTTTGTAACACTGAAGCTACATAAGAGTAAACAATAAAGAATATAGTACTATGTATGTTATAGATTTTCATGGAGATATCTGACTTCGCGTGACCTTGAAATAAAATTGAGAAAAGTACTCAATTCATCCGTTTTTTTTATCAAGAAAATCTACAATACGATCTAGTAAAATAGTTGAAAGTATCAAATAAAGTGAGGAACATTTAAAATGGAACATTTAAAATGTTTTTAAGGTAAATACATATACTCAGGAGCTAACATTTAATAGGATATATATATATATATATAT